ATATATATATATATATATATATATATGCATATATATGCATATATACATATGTGTATATACATATAAGTATTATATATATATATATATATATATATACTTATTTATTAAATTTATAAGGTTGGACGGGTTGAGTCTGTTGCATCCTAGTAGATATATTTAGCTATTTTGTAAAGTTTTCTATCAGTTTGTACAGTGTATCTATATATGCAATATATTGTTTATGGTCACTAATTATAAAAAAGTGTAATATTACACGTAAGATACGATATTTTACGTTATTATGGAAGATAAATTAATGACGTTTCCTTTATATGTATATTTACACATGTATACAGGAGTGTCTGATCACGGTAAGTGCGATGTTCGTCGTGCGCTTGCGGATTAAGTCGAACTGAACGAAAAGGTTCCTTCCGTTTTGCAACGTAAAATTTCGAATCGTTGGAAAATCCTAGAATGAGGGGTAAGGTCATCTTTGACAATAATACAATACAAGAAGATGAGAAAAAGTATATTGGAGGGGGAAACCTGGGTGGCACAGTGGTAAAAGTCCGGGCTCGATTCCTGGCCCAGCAAACTCCGGCTTCTGATATACTTTCCCATTCTTACATTATTAAGATCGGCAAATGATTACGTGCGAAATGATGGACGAATTCTGCAGAAGCGCCAGGCATCTCAACCCTCCGTCATTGGCTGCCGATTGCCGAGCGAGCGAGACTGTCCGAGCATCGCAGAGCTCGTCCGCCGCATCGCCGATGATCGCTCGCCAATCTTCCTCCATCAGTGACTCAAAATCTTACGTACTTACTTGCAAAATGGTAAAGGATTTTTTTTCACTCAGCTCAATTTATTAATCTGCAGGCACACGAAGGATATTGTTTCTTTTTTTTCCTTACCGTCACAGACACTCGTATGTGAATTTTTTGCGAGCTGATGTTAATCGACGCGTCGAGAGAACCGTTTGTAAAATTCTACACTATACGTTGGTCGCAGTGTCAAATTTTTAACGCATAATAAAACGATCTTATACATTCTTTCTTCCTTTACGTACACTCGAAAGACTGTTATCATCGATAACGAGTATAAAATTGTTGCCCAAGGTCTCGGGAATTACAAGAAATTATCACGGTGAGAGATCATACATATATATGTATATCGATGTTGCGAAAAAAAAAATGTTAAATTATTTCACCACCACTTGAGAATTTCTCTTTATCACGTTGTTTCCTGTACAAGTATTGTACATATTTGAGAGATATGCGCAGTTCAGATTAAAAAAGGAATTTCTCTTTTACCGAACAAAGCCTCTTTCACTCCCCGTATCTTCCCCGTACGATAAAAATTAGCGTCAATTAGCCGAAAGTGGAGCGTTGTATTAGCCGCGATCAAATTAAGCGATTAGCGTCGTCGTCGTCAGGATTTCCCGCGGGTGGAAAATAATGGACAGGGCCAAGAGCGAGCTTGAGAACCGCTTCGCTGCATTATCAATGACAACGGGCGGAGAACTGTCGCCTATCCGGGCGGCAGTGGTGCTACATTGACGTCGACTTTCGAACGTCATTCACGAGTCATTTTCAATACGCGAAATAAACGATCAGATGAACGTCGGACCCCAATCGGAGCGACGGAAACGTGTTAAAAATTCGTACTCTTTTCGGACTTTTCCGATCATCACTGCACGCGACTCTCACACAGGAAACGAGACTCGGTTCCTGCAACTGCGTGGGGACCAGATGAAAACTCGTTGACGAGAAATAAAACATCTCTGTCAACGCAACTGACAGATTCGTGTTATAGTTTTAAAAACACGGAGAAACACTGCTTTTTCCCAATTTTTTCCGCGGATTTTTTTCGCCTCTCTTATACTTTCTTTACGGAAAGAAAGTAAATGCGGCAGATTTTATTCGACACACGCGAATTTCTCCGAATGAATTTTTGTATCTTTCGCGACAGAAATCCGCGGAAAAATGGGGGAAAAAGGGGTTTTTGGGGGAAATTTTGAAATTATAATTCGTGTGAACATTCGGCTGTATTACAACTCGATTAAAAACAATCGACCGAGAGCAGGAACCTTCCGCAGGAATTCGTTCCTACAATAGAGTTTTCGTTCCGTCCCTCCGTTGCCCGTAGTACGTCTATTCTGCAACTTTTAACGGCAGTGTCACTGTTTCGCTGCACAGGTATAACATATGGTAGAAAAGTTGCTCGTCGATAACGTTATGATAGAGGCGACACTGTCATTGCAAGTTACAGAGCAGATAACGGGAAAAGTTCAGCTCCACCAACGGAAACTTCCCATGCACGACTGCACTCTCCGTTCTCGCGATTTTTATTCCCCCTCCGCGTCTCTCGCGCGAAGAGAGACTCGGTATCTCCGTATATTTACAAGGCGAAGTTGGGGAAGAAACCAGACCAAGTCTGTCGTCGTCGTTAGATCTACACGTGTCATTTATTATTCTCTCTTTACAGCAGCTATTCCGTGATCATCGGCCATGTCGCGATCTTCGCGACCGGCCGCGTTCGTTCTTCTCGCTTATTACTTTTGTACGTGGATCTCCGCATGTCACTCACGGGTACGATGAAAAACGAGATGAAGTGATGAAAAATGAGAGCGAAGTTAATTCATGGATATATCAGTCTCTTTAAAACAAGCCGAGTAAAACAACAATGAACACGGAGGAGAGACGCGGCGTTCTCCGGGGCGCCGTCGGTGGACCACGTGCGCCAACGATCAAGACGACACACGTGGAATCCCCGTGTCGCTCGGCGCGGCGATAGCTCTCGATGACAAAAAAAAATGAAAAAAAAAAACAACAGAGAACATAGGATCGTACTTTGTTGAGATAATCCTAAGTAAAAACTATTTATACGTGCATATACGGTGCGTCCCAAGACCATCGCTGCCTGCATCGACGGATTTTTCCCACCTATTTAGAGTCTCGATTTCTTCCAGGCGGAAAAGTCGTGAGAGAAGAAAGAAAGAGAGAAGATGGAGACAACGATCGTTGACTGCTAATTTATTAATTTACCGCTAATATCTCGACGAGATGCAAGAACTAATCGGACTTGTAAATATCGAACTTCACGGAGAGTTTAGAATTGAACGATTACGAGAGAAAAAGAGAGAGAGAGAGAGAGAGAGAGACTATATGGAGACTAAAAATCTTTAATATTGAGGAAACGCTGGATTCTAAATCGTTGAAGAAATCCGTGGATTACACGAGTGGCGGTAGTTATGAGACATTCTGTATATATGTATATATCTATATATAATATATATCTATGTATATGTATATTATAAACATAAAACCGCTCAGGAGCGATTCCCTTCTCGTTCCCTTCAATCTCCGGAGTCCCCTTGATCGTTAACGCGCGGCTAGTACGGGCTTACCCGGCTAATTACAGAGCCGCAGCGTGTGTTACGCAACGACGTGCGCGCGACGTACAACTTGTGTACTTATCACAGAGAGAACGAAATTGTCGTTTCGGGGCTTTAGAGTCACAGAGAGAGAGAGAGAGAGAGAGAGAGGATGGGAGAGAGTATATCTTCGACAGTGAAATGGAAAATGCAATCGGACACGCTTCGCGGCCAATTGTGTAACACACCGGCGGCGGCTCTTACGCTCCGGGAACTGTCGAGCGCTGGCAGTTTGCTCTCGGGGTTAAAAAGCGATTTTTCGGAATGAGCAGCGAGAGACGAGAGACCGGCTCGGTCTCGTGTATGTACAATGCGAAGAGCGGCTGTCTCGAGAGAGCGGTCTTTCTCGAGCTTCGTCATGATATGATGATTCACCAACCAATTAGCGAAGGATTCGCGGCTCCTTCCGTTCTCCGCTCGGCGAGACGGAACACGCGCGAGGAAGGGAACCCGAAGGGAACCGGCGAAGAACGACGATATTCGCAGTATTCGTACAAGCGCAGGCGCGGTGTATATACAGAGTCCACTACTGAATTAACGTCGTAAAAAGTGGAAATGTACGCAGAAACGTAAATTCAGAGAGAGATCCGCGGGAGATAAGTGGTTCTATCACACATCAATTTTGGCGAAACGGTTTAACGTCTCCTCCTCCTCCTCCTCCTCCTCATCATCATCATCATCATCATCATCCTCCTCGTCGTCCTCCTTCTCTTTCTCGCGCGATCTCGCCGAGAAAACGAGCTTGTCCGCGCAAACGCGTAGCGTGAAGGACAGATTGCGAACCGCGATGCTTCCTTCTCGCAAAGCTTCCCTAATCGCGACAATTGCTCTAATCGAATTTCGAACTTCCGAAAGACGGACGACACTCTTTTTTCCGTCTTCTTCCTCCATTTTTCTTCCTCCTCCTCCTCCTCCTTATCACGGTTTTCGCACCTACGCGCCTCGTCTGTAGAACGAAACAATGCCTGCGTGTTTACCCCGATCGTTTGATACGCTTAGAGTGAAACTGAGTAGCTTTCTCTCAGACGATCTCAGCTCGGGCGTGATCGACGGCGCACCTAATCGCGCGACACGTGCCGGAAAAACGATTCTCACCGATTGAACACATTGACTGTCGCATTGACGACAACAAGGAACTTGCTTCTCGAACGTCATCGGAGAACCAGCGTGTTATTCCGATACGTCGATTGATTATTACACTTATTTTTCAGCACGATTCGATATAAATACGTGTCTCCGCGCAGGGAGACCCGCGCGAGCTAACTGGTAGCTGACGTAGCCGAGAAATTCTCCTCTCGCGCGTCAGCTACGAGATAACTCGTTCTCGCCAGTCAATATGTTAACACGTTCGCGGCGTAACACAGTGATCTCCCACGAGAGAGAGAGAGAGAGAAACCAGAGTGTCACAGCAGAAGTTGACAGCACATACGTTCTTCCTTATGTGCTCTACATCAACGGAACCAAGTCTGTTTCACATACCGGTTACTCATCTTCTATGCTGCGCTCGGAGATCCTGCTCGACGTAGAGTAGCATTTAATCAATCACAATCATGATAAAGTAATCTTGACTCTTTTTGTCCTGATTGGTCAAGCAAACTCGCTGCTCTAACCCGAGTCGAGTAGGATGTTCGAACGCGAGCTAAAGTGCTTGTTTTCGCGCTGGATATGATGAGACCCAGTGACGTACTAAAAATGCTGCAGGGTTGCCACAGAAAATGAATTTTGAAATTCCCACGATTTTCCCACAAACAATATGTGATCTTAAAGTCTAACGTTTAGAAGCAGGCATTGCAGGAAAGGTGGTAAGTTTATGTTAAAAAAAAAAAAGTAGGCTTATATTATTAGAAGCAACACAAACTCAAAAGTTTAGCAACATAATATAACCCTGAGCGCAAATTCAGGCTAACAAAAAATTAACGAGCATTGGGAGAAAGAATAAATTTAAGAACACATAAGGGAATTGTGAGCAAAGTTCAAAATTCCAGGTTCTTTTATATCTCCCTTTTCCAGGTTTTCTCTGTCATTTAAAGTTTCGCAATAACTCCTCCCAATTTCGGCGTCTGTGGCAAACCTGTGTTTCCGATTGGCGCCGACTTTCATCCAGCAAACAATCTAACAGACAGAAACGCATCGTCTGCTTTACATGAGAAATACAGAGAGAAAGAAATACAGGGTGATCTGTGAGGGTCGGTTTCCGAGGAACGTCTTCGAACGAACAGGTGGTGGCGAACGTATGCGGATGCACCGTCGTTTACTCGCACCTCGCCGCGAGAAATGATAATTTCTTATAAAATTGTTCGTCGGCACCTGCGTATTAAGCGATCGGTGTGAACGAGGCCGTGAACGGTCGCGATTTCGAAGCATCGTTCGCCTCGTCTCTCTTTTAGAGTCTATCGCACGAGTCTACACGCATGTACGCACACAGGCTTGCGCGCACAGAACACACACATACACACGCACACACATGTACACACGCACACACAGTCAAACGAAATGGATTCGCAGGAAGTACACGCTCTTTCACTACCTTGCCTATGTTCCACGCGTTACAGTCATTCCTCTCTTCCGCGCGAAAATTACAGAATCGATTTCGGTCACCCACGTGGGCTGTTCTCTCTCTCTCCCTCTCTCTCTTGATGCCGGCTAGCTGCGATCGCGTCGAGTCTCGCTTATCATTACTGGAGTAACGCCGCTACGAAATTTGAATGTGCGACGAACAGTGGCGGTGTGACTTGGTGGTGCATTCTCCTTTCGCAAATAATAAAAGAAGGTCAGTCCCGACAGTGATTGTTGCTGTTGTTGTTCTTGTTCTTGTTGTTGGCACGAAGACGCTCGATCGATCGATCGATCATTCGTTGATGAGAGTCGCGCGAAATAATGAACACCTCATGCACAAAATGATTCTCACTTCTTGTTAGAATATTGTCGAAAGTATATATATATGTATATATATATACGCTTTACACGAATAAGAATCGCTCGACGAACACGTTGCTGGTATACGAAAAACTTATGACGTACTTTTTACGCTACTAGATTTTCTTTTTTTTTAGAAACGATTGCGCGACATTCTCTTTTCGCCGTATCGTCGTGTAATCGAACACAATATACATCAGTGAGACGAGATACCTCACGTATACAATACTTTCGGTTATGTCGATGATCAAGTGGTCTCGCAGCGCTCTTGTCGTTCGAGGGAATTAAAACGTAAAAACGTATCGACGGAACACATAATTTGGAAAGAGATAAGAAGTTTGGTTACAAGCTTGATAACGCACGCGTTGTTGAAAAGTTACAGAATAGGTCCCGCCGCCACGCACGTGTTCTCACCCGGTTTTCAGAATTAACTAGATCGTCCTTGCTCGATGCTTCTCGAGACCGGATTTACAATAAATAATAATAAGCCCATAGCTTTTTAACAAAAAAGAATAATGCACGAGTAAGGCTTTCGGGATGTTCAATCCTTGAGTAACTGGAAAAGGTCAATAACAACCGGCGCTAGTGATCGGTTGGGAAGTGAAAGAATTATTTGACCTACTAAATCAACGAATTTAATGTCTAAATATTTCGGTCGTAGGTTCCGACCCTCTTCAGTAATAATGGAAACGTTTGAACGTTAGGTTCGCCGACTTGGTAGGTCGAGTAATTAATTAATTTCGCAACTAATTACTAGCATTAGGCTCTTATTGGCCTGTATTAATTAAAGAGTTCGGTGCAAAAACCGGTCGATTCTGCGGTTCGATGAAAACGAACTTGACGAAAACGAAACTGACTTTTCAAGCGGATTTAATCGACTTTCCATGTCGTTTCGTATGAGAGATGGACAGCTCCATTTGAGAAGAAATATCTTTTATTAAAACTATCATTACTATATAAAACCATCTTTATCTAAAAATATATATTAACAGAACGATCTTTAAATATTTTAACGATTCTCGTCAAAAAATTTGCATAACTTACCTTGCACGAAACAGTTTTTACTAAAGTATACAATTAGAAAAAAACTGAGCCAACCGATTTCTGCACCGAGCTGTTCAAACTTTACTTTTAGTTTTTTGCTCCAGGCAATGAAATGTAACGTAATTTCTGACAAAAGGCGATTCCCGCATCGCTAAAAAGTCGTAATAACGCTCGAACCTAGGAAATCGCGGCACCTGATAGCGTTGGGGGGCGTTTTTGTTAGAAATTACGCTAAAATTTAGCGCTTAGAGCAAAAGGTTGAAGAAGGTTTATCACACATTGTAGATCCGGACCGGAAGAGCCGACTTTTCTTTCTCGACGACTACTACGAAGATCGCTTTGCCGCACGCACGGGAAAAATCATACGGGAAATTAGCGTACAAAACACTACTTAACTGTGCAAAGGTCATACGGAAAATTCGCGTACGAAATATTGTGTAATTGTATAAAAAGTCACGCTGGTCGCCTCGGGCCGCGTCGTTGAATGATGCATCGTCGACTTCCGCATGCGTGTTCGCCAATAGGCGTTCGTTCGTTTGTTTCTTTTTGTCCTATTTAAATATTCGCGACAGAAGGAAATAAGCGATAGCGGAACGTCGACGGGACTCCTCTCGCATTCTGTTTTTAATACCGTTCGCTCGAGGGGAAGTGGCAGGGGGTGAAGCTGAAACTCGCGTACTTTTGAAATAATCGCGCTGCTGTCGAAAATAACGCGCGAGTATAGATTTCGTCGAGATTGCGACATCGAGAAAAGAACGTGTGTAGCATATACGGGCAATATTTACTAAAAAAAATCTTGAATCTTGCCAACCCAGAATGAGGGAACTTCGTTTCTGGGAATCAATCGAGTTTTCTCATTGGACCATCAACTATGTTCCGAACTACATCGAAAGAAAATGTTCAAACCGTTTGGAAATTCAATGTATATGTCCGATCTTAGTCCCTGAATTGCAACGATTTCAAGAGTGCGCTGCAAAGTGCACGCTCTGTGTCGTTAAAGTGTCACACGTTTAATATATTTCATACTATCAGTAAAATACCCCGTTATCACTCTGTCATTGTACTTGGACACTCCGTCGTTTTATCGCAGATAAAAAGTACGGACTGACGGCAAGAATGAGTATTGTGGAAAAGTGTGCACTTCGAGCGTCTTTTTTTTAACCCAGTTTTCACCCAGAAGGTAAAACTCGGATAATCCGTGATCGTCCAACGTCTTGACTCGCTTTATACTCGAGATCGATCCCACACAAAGTATATCGCCGCACAATTAAAGAGCATCTCGTGTAAAATTGCAAATCCGGATTTGATTTTTCATTTGAAGCTGAATATAAATCCCGATTACATCGAGGTTTTACACTTCTCCCCTACGCCACCTCTTACACCGATCGCGGGGAATTCTGCCTACGCTCTCGAATTTCTCGGAGTGAAATCTCACTCGAAGTGATAATGAAAATACTGTCATGTCGAATAGAATAAGCGCGAATGTTTTACTCAATTTCGGGGTGGGTTCCAAATCCACGCGAGTGAATATTTGGATTGATCAGAGCGAACTCGATACTGGAGATACTTCTGTGGAATAATGAAAATATTCGCTCAACCACTCATTCCGCGTGAGAGTGGTAAAAATCACTTGAATTCGAGTGACTCGGCTTGTCACTCTACTTTCGGAAATAATGTGTCGCTCCAAGAAATTCGGAATATCGCTCGAGAGTCTACGCTATAATTCATGAGAAAACTTGCCGGGTGCGTGTATGAAACGGTTCGTTGCGAAGTTTCGTCGCAAATCAGCAACGTGTCTCCGCGAAATCTTGTACCCGAGTCTTCCACTTGGCTTGGTCTGCCATGCATGGAAGTTGTGGAATATGACGAGCAACGATAAGCGCGAGTTGAGAAATTTCGTTTAATTAATTAAACGAATTAAATAATTAATTAAACGTTTAATTAATTATACGTTTAATTAATTAATTAAACGTATTACTATATCATATAACGCAGCATTACCTAACGTGTTTCTTTTCATTCTTTTTTCTTCTTTTATTAAATATAACTTAGAAATTTGGCAGTGTCCATTTCTTGTTTTCGTCAAATATCATCTACGTCGGAGAAAAAGAGATATCTATAAAATGTGCTGTGGTATGGATCTCAAAGAAGATCTTCCTAAGGTTTGCTAGAACTACGTATGAAAAAACGCGTATAATTCTTACGCAAAACATTCTTTAACACCTTGACTGCCACGTTACTCGCACTTGTGTGACACGAGAGTTTCCCTTCATCTGTCTAAGTACGACGGTTTTACCTATACTCAGAAATATTCACATAATTTTCGACAATAATTACACTACTTGAGAGAAATCCAAAACGTACCACAGTAAAATCATTACTTATATATGTATACATATGATCGTCATGCGTTAAATTTATTTTCGTCGTAGATACTTTTGAAGCGACGTCGGTATCATCTTTTACATCGGATACGAGTATTAACTTTTCGCTACAGTTGAACTGAATGCACTACCACGCGGTAACGGACAACAACAGCGCGACCCATTGATCAATTAACAACAAAAACATCATTGAACAACAACTGGTTAATAAATGATACTGTTGCTTCACATTGTAAAATTTGTTAGAATCGAATAATAAATAACAAATTAACGGAACTTGTACTTTAACAATATCAAATTTACAATTTACAGACCATTACTGTTCAGTAACGGCAAGTTATGGCTTTCGATACGAATCGAATCTCACTACAGTGGTGTTTTGCTCCAAGAGATTACTTGGCTGGAAATCACTGTAATATCGTTAGCGTTGACGTATTAAGCGTATTGAATGCGCATCGGATAATAAAAATTTGCATGCAATCGTCTTCCAATCGGTATGGTTTATTTTGAGTAATCTGACTCTACACACTACGGTATGGTTGTACCCAGTGCGACCGGGGAACTTTGGGGATGCAGCGTGGCACTCAAAGTGTTAAACAATATCGATAACGAATACATCACAAATGATACAAGAGATATTCATACAAAACGTAAATCCTTCTCATAGCCGAAAGAAAGAATTACAAAACTTGCTATTGTACAAATTTTATCAAAACTATTCACTAAAAAGAAAACCTTTTACTATATATATATATATACGACGAAAGAGGAAGATTCGCGAAATTTTCTTGTTGACACGTCTCGTTTGAAGTCTTGCTAAAAGTATAACGAGAAAAAAAAGACTTAACTCGTCTTCTCTTTTGAAAGAACTTAACGTCTCATACCACAGTGGCCTCAGATTGTTGCCTTGAGCCTCTTCCGCGAAATCAAAATGCAAACATGCTATTGCATTGAGAAGTTTCAATAAATATAGCGGCAATGAGTTACTTATTTTAAGTAAATCCATTTAAACGCGATAGATCACTTATCGTCGATTAGATTCGTCATCATTTCAAGAGACTGGGAAACTCGCACGAGACTCTACCTGAGGACGGCATTCACAGTCGGATCTTGTACTTAAGATGACTACGAACGTCGTCCTGAGATAACGCAACTTTTATCCAGCAATTCGTTTTTATTCTAGTGAAACTCAGACTTGACGAAGATCGAGGTATGTTAAAAACACTCTCAAAATATCGTTACATTAGAGTCACATGAGTTCGATCATAGGCGAAGACTTCGTGTTTCTCTTGCGAATTTCGCGTAACAAACAAGTAAGAAAGATGAATCCGTATATCATGCTAGTTTCCCGTTTAACAATGCGTTGTGATGAATGAGCTTGTGCGCTCGCAAAATACAAAGGGAATCTCAGTAAGCGCAATGGTGAATGTCGGCAAATCTGTCGCAGACGGAAATCGAGAACGGTCAGTGAATTCCTTCTAATAAGCTCCTTTTGATTTGACACTCTAACAACGGCTACTGCAAATGCCTACACGTCGTATCGCTTACATAGTTGCTTCAGATAGTTTCTGATTAGTAAGTTATGACCATAGATTCTGTGCAGTCTGAGGTACAAAAATGCGTCTTATACACAATAATCCCAGCAGGATCCAGAGTTGTATAAAATAATCTGTATCAAAAATTATCGTAAGAGAATTTGTGACACTGTTACATTTATCGACTACTACCGTGTCTAGATCTTGTGTGCTACGTGACTGCTTCCCGATACAAATTCTATTTATGTACAATTGCGATTGTTCACCTTTTTCCCTCCCCACTCCCTTTTACTAGCTGTTCTAGCTCATTCAATGCAGGACAGAATCGCTCGTTCTCTTTACAATGCGCTACTACAACACGAAAATGAGCTCACGTATTGTACACCCGATGATGATAAAACTGTCTTGGATATTTTTTTTTAGTTGCGACTTATGATGCACACTTTTGCACAGATAACTTGGCCAATCACTTACACATCGAATGCACGATTTTTCAATTTCACACGGTACGAAACAGGTATGTCGTGTTTTTTTTTTTTCTCTTAATCTTGTATAATAATGAGCAATGCTAGGTCTGCATCTTCATCGTCTCAAATACACCGCTTTAAGTCTGTGATATATCTGTGAGAGTGAGAAATATTAATATAATATTAATTTATACAGTTGTAACGACACAACTGTAGCACTTCGTGCGACATTATTGTTGCTTATCGAGCAAACGTAAACGGGAAATAATTACGCACGCGCGTGCGGTATATAATAGATCGAGTTCGTCTCTCGAGATGAAATTTTGATTCGTGTCGTATTGTCATCGACGAAAATTTACGTGGAAATGTAGTCCAAGACAATGAAGTTACAGGAGCCGAAGACTACCTCTACGAGTGTATTGAAAAATAATCTTTGCAGGATGTCTGCTTTGTTTTTACTCTTTTTCACTACCAACCGTCAACATTCGCTAGTACGTTAGCTCAAGTGAGAGGAACAACTGTCTGTTTCATCGACCTTTTTTTTTTCTTTTATACTCGTCGTCATACTCATAATTTGTCCCCGATATCGGGGGAAGATCGGCCAATTCACTTCCATCGGGGCGATGGATGTAAAGCTCGCGAAATTCCTTTCTCACGCAACTTACATTCATCGATTCTTTTCGCAAGTCTACTATGCTACACTATTTACAATCGATAAGCAATACATCTGATTGTTCTTGTAAACGTTAATCCAAGAAGCATGCCTTCCGTCTTTTTTTTTCCAAATGAATGAACGTACGAGAGTAAGATATACGCGTCAGAGAATCAACACGGACGGTATAATATCTTGTATACTCTTTCGTGATTTTTTTTTCAAATGGACCGACATCACGAATATCCTACTTGATGGACGATCAAATGAATTTCGTTCGAGACCGACTGAAACGGAAATTCATCAATCGGCAATGAAACTGATCGATCGCGATAAAAAGAGCGCAACGAGAGTTGTGCCGATGATTTAACGAGGCGCATTTGTACATTTACAAGAACATTCACACAATCTACGCCGATAAATGCGTCACATTCTTTTTCTTTTATGAAATGTACTTAACAAGTGGCAGTGCATAATGTGACGCGAAACAATAGGTCACAATTTTCTCTTTTTTTTTCGCTGTTAAACACAGAGAATTAATTACAAGAGTTCGGGCAGCTGATCGTTGCCTTACTTAGCTTGATGTCAACTTAAAAACTTTGTATACGATTGCAATACATCTCATCGTATAAGCTTGATTATTATTTATTTACCGTTAAGTATTGAGTCCCTCCCATTCGATGAGGTATTGTGCCTGACCGTCCGGCCTTGTCCTCTTCGCTTTGATGACGAACTTTTCACCAGCGGCTATTCTATTAGCCGCACCGAAGTAAAGATTCACTGACGACTTCAGCTCATCCAGAGATATGTCAGGCGCACTTTGCTTCACTGGCGAACACTTTGGCGACGATGGCATGCTGCTGCCCTTCCGTTGCGTCTGCGGCTCGGGAGGAGGTAATTTCTCGTTACTATGCCGCTGTCTCAACCTCCTACCGTTTAAGGCATAATCGACACACTTTCCAATTTGACTATTACTCGCACTGCTCGAGGCACCATTAAATGAACTTCTTAAATTCCTGACGAATTCACTTTTAACTTCATTATTACGAGCTGGCAGAATAGTCGCCGTCTTGCTGGCGGTTTGTTGGAATTGCTGCTGCTGCTGTTGCTGTTGCTGCTGCTGCGATGGACGTCCTCGTCGATGTTGCCTCCTGCGCTTCACCTGCCCGTTTCTGTCGACGATAATATCCTTCTCCGATAGCTGCCTCTTGGCCACCACCGGCGGTTGAGGGATCACAGGCGTCAGTGGTAGAGGCAAGGTGATGGGGCACTGGTTGAAGGGTAACGGCGTACTCGAATTCGCTTGAGTAAGGCTAACCACCGGCGTGCTCATTAGATTGCCCAGGTTTCGGAACGGATTGTTCTTCCCTTCGAAATCCTTGGGTGGTGGGATGAAAGAGTCGAGGGTCCCTCTTGAACTGGTCTCGTCGCCGCTCGTGTCGGCGGGTGTCGAAGGTGTAGGCATAGGATGCATCAGATCCACGGAACTCGGCACGGACAGCTCCGACATACCCGACGTTGTGGCCGGTGGCGTCGGCGGCCCGGAAACGGAAGTCGGAGGTGTCGGGGGTAATTCGGATGCTTCTGCACTTCGGGACTTGCTCTGCGTTAAGAGGATAAAACAATATAAGGCTACGTTTCGCTTCGGTATGTAGCGAGCGATCAAGATACAGTGAGACGTGCTGTCGGACGTAAGTCTCATCAATAGGCTTCCGGTCAAGTATTAATTGTAAAATGATGATCGAAACTCGGTCTCTACCTTGGCGATGGCGTTCTTCAGTAATTTCCTCGCCTTCCTGTATCTCGCTTCTCGGACTACTTGAGATTTCCCCATGGCGGCATCTTTGTCTTTCTCCCTCTTTTTATGTTTACGTAACATTCTTTCCCTTGTACTACCTAATGCCATTAAACGACGTCTTCTTTGTAGACTCAATTTGGGGAATGGGAATGATTTTTTTACAAAACCGCCGCCGCTGTACCTATGACAGAGATTAATCCCCCGGGGAAATTAATCGAGACCGGTCATAAGCATTGAAAGTTGGTCTCACGCAACGCACGAATAAATGTAAAAGTACCTTTCCCTTAAAGATTGTGTCGATTGACTGGTCGGACTTTGACTTGGACACGAACTCTGCTCCGCTTCCGAATTCTGATAAACTGTCCCCCGCATTACTAAGTCTGAAGGATTCACAGGAATTTCTACATCCTCAGACGAACTCAGTTTCAATGCCATCAATTGTTTTGTACTTTCTGGCAAATTCACAGGTCTGAAACAATCAATTTCACACGTTGCGTAAAACTACAGAGATACATGCAAATTTCATACAAATGTCCAGCCCCGATGTAAGCCTCTGTGGCACACACACAATTAATGTTTTATATCAACTTAATATATTTAATGTTATATACTATATTCAAAAAATAGTTACCGAACCCTAGAAAATTCGAAATGATAATGGACTTATGAGTCTTTTTTGTACACACACATACACACACATTTCGAATTTCAAGTTCCAGCACCATCCTTATTTATACCAACTTAATATTTTATACTAACCCTATCTGTGGAGGAAGATATTGCAGTCTTTTATTAGCACCCCAACAACTGCGTAACACATTATCATCTATATCGCCGGTTTCTGGAAGATTGACAATTGGACAAGGTGGTGGAAGTCTGACACGGAGGCCCCATATTGTAGTACGCTTCTTTATTTCTCTACCACACTTGAATCTGCTCCTGTTGTTTGTCAATATCGCCAATATAGATTCTCTCCGTATTTGACCAGTAATATCTCTAATCTAAAAGAGCGCACAACATTGCGGTATAAAATCATCAAATGCCACGATTAATTTTTTAATATATGCGTTAAAATATCTCTGTTTGGAAATCGTGTTCCAGCAGAAGTCACTTACCCGTTGTGGAAGTTGTAAAGTGTACCAATTGTCATTTGCGTAAGGTACAATTACGGTGTCCAAGTCGTAATACTTTTTAGCATTATAAACAGTCAGATTGTACAATATCAGGTGCACCAGATCTACCCATTTCATTTCCAAACGCCGAACAAATTCTTTCCCGTTATTGCACATTGAACAAACAAATACATAAAATCTGCAAGAATCATTAAGTAATCTCATCGTGAAGGCATATAAAGAGAAGGATAGTTTATGTATTCGTAACAAATATTTGATGTATCTACATCACTACTGCACTTACCTATCACCGCTGTACAAGGGATGAGTTAAGCATCTGATACATTTTTCGTGAAACCATTGTTTACACCGAGCACACTGTAACATCTGTGCGTACCATTCACCATTCAGACCGCAATAACAATAAATTTGTTCGGCGTTCACTCTATGATGTGCATCCCAAGTTAACATATTAGGCTGCAATGGAATAATAATGAAAATACCTGTAAAATTCTCACAGTATTTCATCCCACATACAGCAGGATATTCATGTAGAAGGGAAACACCTCATGATTATGATTATTTGCCCGATCAATGAATACATATTTTGTAATTGAATCTTCCTTACATCATACGGCAACTTTGTCATGTCATCCGGTGGTGGTTCAGGTTGGTCCCTACCGCTGCAAACTTTTCTGATATTTACTTTAACCATAGAAGTTTTTGGTTCGCAAGGTTCGCGCACCCGTGGCTGACTATCTGTACATCTTTTACACATCCAGTGGGTATCTGAGCCCGTGTCTTGTTTTGGTATTTCAGGCTGCAAATGTTCACATTGTTTTCTCATTACACTGCTATTTCGTAGCTCTCCAACGGAGGTTACTACTGATTAATCCAGTTTAATCTTGCAAACACGATGTATACCATACCTGATGACACATTTGGTGATAGCCACGGCCACACTTGTCGCAAACAATAATGTCATTGTCAGTCTTAGGCTGAGATTTTTTGCAAAGAACACACATAACATCCGAGTCTGGCATAGCCAACTTCGTCAGCTCTTTAAACGAGGACCAGGAAGATGTATTGTCCATGAACTTGATAAGACATCTTTCCCTCGCCATGTCCACCTGTGATAAGAAAAGCCATTGTTACAAATTCGAGTCTAATTAAAGGTTATGAGTGAGGACTGATTTATTCATACCTCCACAACTGTGCCAAGATAGTATTTGCCATCTTTGTGTTGAAGAAGAACGTCATCACCATGGGAGAAACCGGCCCGCTGTTCCCTCGTGGTGCTATCCGGGGCTGCCAAGCTTTCCTCGGGTTCTGACATTTTCTACCCTGTTTCTAAATCAGGTTTGGAGAAAGAACAATCAATATTTCTCCTGCTTAGGTAGTAACAAGAGGGGATTCGTGACAAAAATTCTCTGGCAACTGTTTCTATTAATCCTGTGAAATTGAGGAGTGAAACAACTATTGTTTACAGCTGAAATTCCTGAGTATTCGCGAAGCTACTTCGTTGAATCCAAGAGTAACTGGTAAAGCAAGTGCCAATGTTGCGGACGAAAAAAGAAACAGAGTAACATTCGTTTGTTCATGCATTTGTGGGTCAGTTTTGACCCCTCACGAAGTCACGGGTTGAAAAGGAGACTTTCTACGAGTTTCTACAGAAGACTATCGGACGAATCGATAGGATAATTCAAATACATCTCCCGCAAACAATTCCCCTCCTAAAACGTGTCTCTTCGATCCCCCTTGGTAGATTGCAGGTTAACGAATCTGACGCCTCTTGAATTATTGGTTATTCTGCGTTGAGCCACCGTGACTACAATCTCCTATATCCGATGCTCTCGTGAACGCGAAGGGAGGTTCTCGCGGACACTCGGACGAAAGCAGGATCGAAGGGCCACGTCGGAGAGCAAGCCGGGGGAACAGAGAAACAACACGGATCGCACCGTTGACGGTCGGCGAGCTTCCGGGGTCCACTGAACGGTCGCCGCCACCTGCCACGACGTTACACAATTCGCACGGGACGCACGGGAACGCGGTCGCGTGGCTTAGCTCGGGGGATACGCGATCGCGACCATATGATTGGCATCTCATTAAAAAACAGTCCGGCGCACTTACTCTCGCCGTCGATGGGGAGAGAGAAAGAAAGAGAGAGAGAGAGAGCGCAGCGCGATGCCGCCCTGAACCGCCGATCGCACGGCGCCAAACACTCACGGGCGGTTCGTTGGCGCGATACCCAGTCGAGGTGCCGCCGACTGTCACAACAGATTCGCCGCTGTGGAACGCGGTTCCTCGTCGCACGATCGTCTGATCAATCGGCGCCGAGGATGTGGCGCGGACATGGCGAAGAGGAATGGACGCGTGAAGAAAAAGCGAGCGAGCGAGAGAGAACGAGAGAGAGAGAGAGACACAAAGAGAGACAGAGAAAGAGACTGAGAGAAGGATAGAAAAAGACGGGATAGAAAGAGAGGGAAGCAACCCCTCGAGACCGTCGATCTTGGTAACCCGGGGCGGTGCTCGCGGACACGATGCGTCGTCCGGGCGCGCGACGGTGGCTCGGCGCGCGCGCGCTCGGCGTCGTGCGTAAATAAACTCTCGCCGCCGGCACGCACAGCGGTGCCGCCGTGTTCTCGTCATACCTCAGCGTTTCCGGCCGTGGTGGATCACGCGCTGCTACGTGCGGGCCTCATTCTCCGACTTCGTCAACCATTTACGCACAACCATGGGGGCCCCGCCGCAGCCAGAGCTCGCTCCGCTGGGCGCACTCGCGGCGACGACGACGACGACGGCGACGACGATGGTGGCGGTGGCGGCGGCAAAAGCCTGACTCCGCGGGCTCGGCACGGCGACACGTCCGCCACACGCCGATCACGACCACCGTCCCGGGCAGCCCTCGTAGTAGGCCGGCCGCGCGATCTCTCACCACACGCCCTCAGCGATCGGCATCACCGTGCGGCGGATTCGACGCACGTTCATTGCGTCCCGTGGAAATTCGAACTAACACCGTCCGCCATGTTCGGGGAAACACTTGCTGGACTACTACGCGGCTCAAACGCGCCACCTCGACGGCGGCACCGTGAGCGCGCAGGGCCGTAGCGAGAGGCTGGCGAGGGACCCGCGGGATTCGTTGGTTTCCGCGAACGCTCGAGAAGTGTCTTCATTTTCTTCGTACGCGGAATCACATACCGGCGTTTATCACGTGCCCGTGGGATGTTTTCTGGAAGCGACTAACGGCGTTCCCGAGTTAAGGAGGGTTTAGATCTCGCACCGGCTGAGCGGACAGTGACGTCAGAAGCAAGGTCTGACCTATCGCGGAGCCGGTAACATCATTAACCACTTCCGGAGCGTCCGCACGAGCAGCTTCGGGCGAAAACGCGATAACGGATCCTAATCCCCGAGTACTCCTTCGAGAGCAACGTCTGGAGGATCTCCCGCGCGAACTTCTCGACGACACGACCGTACGATTTCACGTCGGTTGATATTCTTTGGGTATTTCGATCGTCCTTTTCGCGACAATATCGATGTGACGTTCTGAGGATATCTGTTTCCAACGCGGGGTCGGTGAAGGAATTTCGCGCGCGCGTTCTGTTCAAACAATCGGTCTGTTCTTTTTAACTGGACTCGCCGCACCTGTTCGAGAAATTTACATAAACATTGGAGCGTACGTACGAGATTCTCACGCTTCGGCGGTTCTGTTCTTTTTAGCTGAACCGGCTGCACCAGTTCAAGAAATACGCGTGCACACTGTGAAGTGTATGAAGCGTACATACGAGATTCTCACGCCTCGGTATGCGTAAATTTCCTTCACTAATGCAGCTGGTTCGGCTATCAGACCAAGTGTGCGTAAACGTTTTAAACTAATGTAGCTAGTTCCGCTAAAAAGAAAGGACTATCTTTTTCTGACGAAGCGAATTGTAATATTCACTGAACGTCGAGAACAATCTGCGAGAAACGTTGCTTCGAAGGCTCCCGGAAGCTGAATCTAACGTTTCTCCGCGGAAGTCAAAATTATATCAATATCGATTGTGATAATACGTTGTGTGCAATTTTGCATCTGCAGGTATCGTATTCTTTCGACTTTCACGTCGAATCTTCAGCTTTACCCGGTAAGCAGGAAACGAATGAACCAATCTTTTGAAATAATAATTTTATGTAGATAAACACTCTGACGTAATATTTTATAAATGTTTTTAGACCGTTACTTTTTAGCAATACAAAAATCCTAAATATTAAAACAATGACGTAGAAACATAATTTTTTAATTTGGGTCAAATATCGTTAACAATAACGCAACGTTAAGAACTGCACATTTGAAAACGTCACACGTTCCAAAGTCTAAAATATCATTGTAACAACATTGTTATGTTAATGATTTTCCTGCTCAACGGGTAATTATACACGTTCACGCGCGAAAAGTGCTGCACCGAAGTGGCGCACGATTCGGTGCGTGGCCCGCGATTCAAAATGGCCGGTAGTGAACATCGTTTGAACCTGCCATTGCGGTATGCGCACAGACGAAACATAAACAATTGTTATTCCTGCCGTCGGAATGTCCAGAGTGGTGCGACAAATACGGGCGATCGAAATGATGATTTAAGAGATGACGAGCCCGGAATGATCACGTCGCCTCCGCGACGCATGAACATCTCAAACATTAGAGTGGTACGTCCTCCATAACGATGCGTCCCCGCTCTCCGTATCGCAGAGTAGCGAAATAACACGGCGGATCTCTCTCGCTTCCTTCGGCTTTTCGCGCGTTCCGTCCATCGCGTGCTTCGCTCTCGCGTGCTCGATGATCGCGCGAGCGACACAGCCCTTATCTTATCTCAATTGTCACAACTTACTCTGCCAATTTCGATCGGCGAGATCGGCTGCCTCCGTGCGGATCTTCGCGACATTAAATTCGTAACTGAGATCGTCGCGAAGCCGGAGGGTGAGTTTTATCAACGCAATGAGATAAAAATAAATACACGATTTATTCCCGTAGACTCTGACAAGGAAGTGAGATTACATGTATGACCCAGTAAAATCACGCGCAGTCACATTACAAACCGTACACAATAATTCGAAAATCGCTCGAAACATGTCGCTAAACGTGCGCCATATATGATATATCGGTAAAATATTTTATATCGATTTCAGCATTAAATACACGGAGTCCTCGATTTACGAAACTTTGATGAGAGTCCTCGGTGGAAGGTTTTGATGCAAAATTCGCCAAGACTGAGATTAAGATCGGGTTGTAAAAGAATTGTTTCTATCTGCGACTGAAAGGTAAGTTTGGTTGGACAACCAAATGCGTTTTTTCGGCTGAAGATGAGAATTTTTCATTATAAGGACCAAATTTGATTCACGAGAACGCACAGAAATTTTTTCCTTTCTCTTTTCAACCAAAACGCGTTTGACTGTCCATTGTCAGATAAATCCGACTGAACTTATTTTTCAGTGTGATACTACTCGATTCTTGCGATTAGCTTCACGATTAATATAATTGATTTCGTGATTCAGACGACGAAATAAACGCGTCGATTCTCACTTAACAAGTGATAATATCGCGTGAGGACCAACTCCGTTGGAATTTCAACTTCGGAAGTGAAACTTCGTAAAGCGAGGTCTCGGAAATGGGGGACATATATAAGGCTCGTCGTGAATCTTTAATCGCGGACGACGTATAAAGGTAAGGAAAGTATAGCATATGTCAAAGTTTCGACGAAGAGCAGCCCGTGTTATTAAAGTATGCGTCGTATAAGGATTTCCGATGAAACATCAGATCTTACAGATTCCGCAGAGACGATTGATGAATAGTAAACTTTGATATGCATACGGATCATGAACCGCCACTTAAATTAAGACTCACCTTCGCATCTCAGGTAACGTACATTTGTCAGAAATTAAATGCGCGATGAAAAACACGGGCTCCTCGTGTGCTCCCTCGTCGAGACATATAATTGTTTCACTTTTGCAAAATATAATTTTCGTTACCGATCTGACAACAGGGTACATTTGGTTTGAGAGACGGCTTTAACATTCCTTTCTCGATGCATTTTGGAATTCAGCCGGTGCTCCAATGAAAGAATTCATTTTCTGAGAATTTTTTCGAAAACTTTCTCGTTGGACCGTCGACTGCGTTCCGAATTGTATCGGAAGAAAAAAACGTTCAAACCTTATTGAAACCAATGTCCTGTTCTTTTCAGCTGAACTGGTTCAAGAAATTTATGTACACTGAAGTGTGAGAATTTCATAGGTGTGCTTTTTACGCTTCAGTGTGCGTGTAAATTTCTCGAACTAGTTCTGCCAGTTCAGCTAAAAAAGAACAGACCACAAATGTACCACAATTGATTCTGCACTCTCAAATCTTTTATTTGGTGTGAAAAATACCGACGTACACTAATATTTACATGGTTAACTTCTCGAATGTCGTACTACACATTACGGTGATCATCGTCATTTCGGTGTGATAAATAATTGTTCAAGCGAAGTGGTGAGAGAAAAGAACAGCGAAACATTCATATATCTTATGCGAAAGTTTTGCGCATAGTCGAATCTGCTTAAAGTGGTGCGAAGAATCTCAATAAATAATATAAAAATCGCGCCATCATTGCTCTCAGACGTTATTATTTCCTCTAATATTAGTGATCCCGCTTTGATACTTTCATCCTCGACATTTGATTCCTTGTGAAACCTTGGTGAAAATTAAATCGATATACGCTTCTCGAAACAGATGTGGATGCTGCCACCGTAACATGCGAAACAAACAATAAATTCTAAATTGTGTATCTTCAAAAATCTTACGTAAATCTCGCATAGATTTAGGGATTCGACTAGCTGGAAACTCCAAATAGTAAACAATCCCGCAGGCTGCGAAAACACGATGTAAACATGTAGAGTTGGGAAAGTTACTCGTTAACCCGTTCGTATTATATTCATATACCATTACCAAAAAGATGTAACTGCGTTATCGTTACTAATCAAAAGATAGAAATGTCGTTATTAAAAATTGTTACTGAAAAAAATTAACTTGTAACGGTAATAACGTTACAAGTAACACGTTACTTCCCAACCCCGTAAATATGCGTTTTACGCAAATCTCTGTCCCTTAATGATTATCTCGATTAACAGTCGTTTAATACGCGTACCAATTAGTACTATTTTATATAAAATTATTTTTATTTTGTTAGCGCGTGCAGAAAAAAGTGATATCAAATTTAAATGACAGAGCTCTTTGATTCGTATCGTGCCAGCTTAGTACGCCGTTTTTACACGTCGAAATTAAGATAATATTAATAATAATAATAACTTTATAAATGTGTAGCATTATATATGTGTAATAGTAATGTGATAGAATTCAGTACGCGTATTAAATTCGGTATAAACAAGCACGCAATGCTAAGACCGTCGTTCCTTAGAACATCTTCTTCTTGACCGCGGTGTAGCGTTCCATGTAGATATCGTAGCCGTCCAGATTCGCGAATTGCTTCATTTCGAAGAGATTCCCTTCGAGCGCCATCACCGAGACCTTGGAGTCCTTGAGGATCCTCAGGGGGATCGAGCTGAGCTGCAGGCAGTTCTCTTCCAGCCGCAACATCTTCAGACGTGGACAGTCCGCCAGCTTCTCGGAGATGGTCGCGATCTGGTTCTGATTGAGGTTCAACTCGGTCACATGCAGACTGGCGGCGGCGTCCGGCACGATAGTGAGCCGATTTCTCGACAGGTCCAGCACGTCGAGGTGGCGCAGGTCGCAGAACATCAGCGGGAACTCGGATATCTGATTGTCGGAGAGGTTGACTTGCTTCAGGTGGTTCAGCCCCGTGAGGGATGACGGGATCGATTTGATCTGATTGGAGGCGCAGTTCAGGCTCTCCAGTTTCCCGAGCACCCCCAGCGTGTCGGGCAGGCCGGTCAGCCGATTGTGGCTGAGGTTCAGCTGCTTCAGCAGCGTGAACTCAACGATGTCGTTCGGCAGCGTGGTGAACTTGTTCTCCGAGAGGTCCAGGGTGCGCAGCAAGTGCGCCAAGGCACGGAAGTTCTGCGGGAACTCGTCCAGCTTCCGCTGCGACAGCTTCAGCGTGCCGGTCTTCTTCGCAGTCTCGTAGTGCTGCTTCACGCTGGAGTTGCCCATGTCGCGTAAGGTATCGTGTTATTGTTTTGCGACGTTGACGATGCACGTGATGACACTCTCGCAGAGAGAGAGAGAGAGAGAGAGAGATTTCAAATTCGGCGCGTCGCAAAGAGCCGCTCGTTTACCTGCGCTCGCTTCTCATTCGGTTGATACTTATCTCGGTGCTATATCCTTGTTCCAGACGATTAGGCTTCACCTTCTTGCTGAGCTAATCAAAGATACCCGCGCCACAGAGAGGAGGAAGAAGAAGAAGAAGGAAGCCGCGCCGCGCTGCGCCGCATAATTCGAAACGGCGGGACGTGCGAATTCGCCGACTGCGTCGGCAACTTTCGCGGCGGACTGTACCACCGCCGTCAGCGCGCGCCAACTTTCGTGCGGTGCTGTACCGGCGCGCGCGGTGTCTGCTCCTCGGCCGTTGGTGAACTTCACGCGAAATCGTCGCCGTGATCGGAGAGGCGGACGACGGGCTCGGTCGGCCGTGTCGGCACACGCGGTTCACCACGATCCACCCACCGGCGCTGCCGTGCGCGAGGACGCGTGCACGAGGCGGGAACGCACACGGCCGTCGTCGTCGTCGTCGTTTCGCGTACCAGCGCGGAGTACCGAGGAGTGAGAAAATGTCACGCGATTGACAGCGCGTCCGCCATAGCGGGCCTCGGTTCGCGGCCCGGCCGTCCGATGGCGTCCCGCGCGCTCTTGCCAGCCCGAAAAATGGCCGACATACGGAGATGTAGCGGTGCGCGTCGGGTTTACATCAGACTGAAAACGCCGCAACAGCCCCCAGTGCGTGCTCCACGATGCGGCGGTGCGCGGAAATGGTGAGATAGTGGGACCACGCGACGACGTACCGGCCGCAACGATGGCCTCCACGCCGAAGACGGAGAAGCATGCAGGTAAGTCAGGTCCTGCGTTCGTTTTGACGCTTTTCACGCGATTGACGCGAGCGAGACGGAGCGAGAGGGCGCGTACGCCAAGCGAATGAGAGAGAGAGAGAGAGAGAGAGAGCGTGCCAAGGTACGCGATTTTCTTAACGCGGATATCTCCGCGCTTCGATCATCAATGTGAAGGCTCGCCGGCGCTTGCCGAGCGTTATCATCCGATCCGGCCGGCCACTGTCGGGATTCCATGACGCAAAGACCGAGATCGCTCGCGTGGCCGATGTATCTCGGGATCGGCCGATTAATCGAGCGTCGTCGTGCGCGGCGTCGAGCGTGCGGATGCGACGCTACCGGATGCGAAACGTCAAAAGCATATGCGTGTCACAACACGCGAAGTCCTGCGCGCACGCATCTCCTTCGGGCCGAGAGAGAAAAGACGCGCGATATCCGCGGTCGTATTTTCGTTCGTACTGACCACCTGCGGATATCGCACGGTTATGAATGTTGCGCGTTATGGTCTTCGGGGGAGGCCAGTTACTTGTGTCCGTTCGTATCTGAAGAGAGGAGCGGCTCACCGTTCCCACCGAGAACCGAGGGGTGCCGAATCGGTAGTAGCCGACTGTCCGAAAGTTCAGCGACCCTCTGCTCTTGGTGGTTTCGTGGGCCTTTCTAGTTAGTCACGGTCGCGGGATAATCAGCTAAGGTACCGGAGGAATGTTTGGGTAGGAACGTATTGACGATTCCTCGATCAATCAATTCGACGCTGAAGCGAAACTGAACGTCGTTCTTCGTATCATGATAGATGGAAGGAAAGAGAGAGAGGGAAGAAATTTGATTAGAATAGTTAACGATTGAGCGAGCCTCGAACAATCAATGCCTAATCGGACGCCGGTAATTAGCAATTTCCCGTCTGAGGGGCGCGATTCAGTCGCGGCGAGATTTCGCCCGATATTTTTTCCGAGAGACACGGGGAACACACAGCGGCGTTTACGTGGACAAATAAATCCCGCTTTTCGCAAGAAAGCGTTCTGTTATTCCGAGGGGTTGCGATCGGTCTGTTTTCGGAAGCTCTTTTCGTGGCGCGCCGCCCTTTATTTACAGAATCACGCGAAAAGCGGCGCGATATCGCGGATGGAAGCGGCAGATTCTCTAAACACACCCGGGAGAAAACTTGGCCGATATCGCAGCAGCGACGGTTCTGATACATTCACAATGAACGATTCAAATACCTTCGCTTTTAACGCATCGATGCGATCTTGTTGTTATATCAACAGTTGTGTCAATACGCGGTTTTCTAAAAAAGAAAAAAGTCGAAAATAATTGAAACTACGCGTACTACACGATGTTTACACTAGTGCATCGTGTTTGTCGAGATATCGTACACAGGAAAACAGGTTTCTTTAGATTTAGTATTTAGGTTAATATATTATTATTATGTTAATATATTATCGACAATATAATATATTGTTTAACGTAAACAATATAATTAAATATCAAATATTATTTTGTTTGGATGAAAAATTAAAGTTTTAAGAAGTTGCAAAAACTACTAAACTCGTGGAAAATTTCGTGTTAATTTCTTTTGACGTGAAAGGGCTTAGTTAAACAAGAGCGGCTTGGCAGCGATTTAATTAAATAGTCGTGTCCGGCATCGTCGGCCTTAACTTTCTTCTGAGCCGTCACTTCTCTTTTTTTCTCTCTCGCGTTTTTCGGAGGGAAAATTCGTCGACGGCACGAGCGAAAAAAACGAATGTCAATAAACCGTGCACGTGCCGAGGCGGGCCCCGTGCCGTGATTCAAACAGCTGGCCGTGTCACGAGATTTCTGTCTGGCAGTTCGCACCCTCCGAACAAAGACCTACCCTGTCATACAGCTACCCCTGGCCGAGGACGACTGTATTTTCGTAGTGATTGCGATCTCCCTCTCTCTCTCTCTCTTTCTTTGTCTGTCTCTTAATATAATACAATATAATATAATTTTTAATATAAGATGCAAGATTCAGTTATTTGGAATTTGGAATGTTAGTAAATTAAAACATTCGGACGCTACATGAAAGGATAAGATGTAATTAACTATACATGTGTGAGAATGATTCATGTTTCTCATTTTTTCTCACTTATTTAGAAACACCTCCCTTTTGCCAAATCGTTCCCATGCTTGATTATGTTTCAAGTAATATGTCAAGAACTGAGTATGACTTTTGAGCGTTAACTCGTTACACACCCGATCTAATAATATCTTCTTTTCTTTCTGCGAAGAGATTGCAAAATAATTATCTAAACTACAAATACGTGCGCATGTTTACTATAATATCTCGCGCTTCTCGAGATATCACAACTGAGATTAAACTTCTCTATTCGTTCGATATCTCTTATTTCGAAATCATAAAACGCACCTACTTATTCCAAAATAAGATACTTTTACTCTGGGAGAACTGAGGGTGTTTTACGTATGAGAAGTATAATATTTTTGGAATACGGTATCGCATGAATTCAAAAGTTTAATCTCCACTAGTTGTGTCGCACTTCGACAAACGCGAAGCACTATTGTAAACATCGCGCGCGCTCGTATTCGTAGTTTAGATTTACTGCCCAGCGTGTGCGGATGCCAAGCTTACAAACTGTTTCATTCTTGCTTCTTGCTTTGTTTCCTCGTTTTTTTGAATTTCTCGATATATCATCCGCGCGTGTAGCGCTGAAGGGGGATTAAAAATATCGGGAAGAGCATCCATCTTTTTCGTATCGAGCTCGCGTTGCACATGGGATCGTCGTTTCTCCGTTAGAATCCGGGCGGAAACTCGTCGGATCTGTTTACAGTGTCTGTCGATTTGATTTTGATAATGCGCCGCGTAACAGGTGCTGCTTATCAGAGCTGATACGTTCGACCTCGAAGGGACACGTGACGAACGGAGATACTTAAGTAAAGGCAGTTTGATCAATTTGCCGGGTAACCAGCAACAACTGACCGATTACCCCCACGTCATCTGCCCCGCGCGTAATTGCGTTTAATTCGAGTTGATTCGTTGGCGGCTACAATCGTAGCGCGCCCGTTACTGCGGTTGTTGCCTTTTAAAGGTATAGACTCGCCTTCGCGTCTGTAATCCTCGGACGATTTGTTTCGCTAAATTCGATCGACACCCGAGAACGAATTTCGGAAACGAGGTACTTCGTATCGCGAGCTTCTCGCGAGGGATTTTAATTGACCTCGAGATTTTATATCGCGGTTTCTGTACAGGGCGATGCCGCGCTCGCACGGAGAAAACAAATTTTGCTAGAACAGCAAATGTTTGTCAGTATAGTGACAACAACAACAAAATTTGTTTGGACAGCAGAAAGATTTCTTAAGAGTATTCATTGCTGTTTGCTGGATATATGAACAATTAAAACTTAACAAATCTTTCTGCTGTCAAAACATATTTTCTGCTGTCTAAACCAATTTTTCGTTACCGTCACTACATTGACAAACATTTGCTGTTCTAGCAAAATTTGTTTTCTCCGTGCGGAATCGGTGATAAATTCGCCGTGGCGAAGTATTTCTCTCTCTCTCTCTCTCTCTCTCTCTCTCTTCTGAAAGGAGAACTCGTTAAATTTCTAGTTAGGAGAGGGTTAGATAGTTGCATTGAAGCAATTCTATGGTGGTGAGTGCCGTGTTGTGCGGGAAACGTACGGTTGCAATGCCATTGAATGCACCGTAATACTCGTCGTCGGAGTTCGAGTAATCTTACTGGAAGGACAGAAAGACAGAGAGAGAGAGAGAGAGAGAAGCGAGAAAGACGAGGGGTTGGAAGCGCGAGATCGGGATCCCGTCGAATCCGTCTCATCTCGTAGAATCCCTTCGTTTCTGTTTCGCCGCTATTGTGCCCATTAGTGCCTTTGTGCGCGACGACGAGGACAACGGCTGCTTCGCCCATCTTCCCCGTCTTATCCCCGGGATACGCGCTTTCCTCGTTACTCCACTACACGACTGCGGGAAACTAATATCCCCCCGTCATTAAAAGCCTCGCGCGTTCTTTCTCGCGCGAGTCTAGAAAAAGTCTGTTCCCGAAAAATTCGCGCGACCCGCGCGCGTTCTGAGATAACTGGCGCTATTATCTCCGCGTGAGATAAACGCGAGAGAGTTTGCGAGCGCGACAGCAATATCTCTCTCTCTCTCTGCGCGCTCCGAGAGAGCGCGATGAAAACGACTCGCGAAAGATAAACGCGAAGAGTGTACGCGGCTCGTATTATGCAGCGTCGACCGAGCTGTATTCGCGCGCGCACGTTGTCTCTGTTCGATATCATCGTACGATTTCAAAGTGTGCTCCACCGTGAATGATTAATCGCGCGTGTACCGCTATTAGAGCACTCCGGCGGACGCGATTCTGAATGGTCCTCGGCCACTGTTAACTTGCGAACATGCGCTGGAACGCCGACAAAAGCGAGAGAGAGATTTGCATGAGCTGCACGCGCGAATATCTGACGAGCTCTGCGATCGGAGCACGAATATCGATCGATTGTCATTACGACGGAATAAGTTCTCTGACTCACCGAGCCTCGTGCGGAAGTGTTTCCTTATTTTCTTATTCAGCTGTTTGCGGATTAATGGCCGTTTCTCTCTCTCTCTCTCTCTCTCTCTCTCTCTCGCCATGTATAGCTTGCTCCACTTCGGAGCTTTTCTGATGACTCTCGTGTTTCAATTATAGTATATACATATAAAGATACGTTTTTTTCAACGTTATACAATGATATCCGTAGAGTCGCAATTGACGTGGCGCGCCGTCGAGCGTGCGTCTCCCGATGAACACCACCATTACGGTAATTATTGCGCTCTATAAATTTTCATTAGTATGCCATTCTATCAAAAGAACACGAGGAGGAGCGCTCTCAAAGTCGAACGGAAACGTTCGTTCGCTCGCTCGCCCGCCCTTCCGCTTTCTCGTACAACGAGCGATGGACCGCGCTCAAATATTATCATTATCGACTGGCACGCGATTGTACAAAGCCGTAGCGTAATTGCGCGGCATTCGTAAAAATAATTCGATTCCATTTGCGAGAGAGAGAGAGAGAGAGAGATCATTGTGTATTTGGGTTTCACGAACGCCATGTTAATTAAACGACACGCATGCAAATCGCTTCTTACCTCGCTAAAGGCTACGCCTCCGCAGACGCTATCCGCTTTCTCTTCTTCTCTGTGTATTTATTTATCAGGTATTCTCTCTCTAGTAAATTCGAGATGTGAATACCTTACACACAACCGTCCACGTTCCGGTATCGCGACGAATTTTAGTAACACGTTCAACGGATAGATTGCAACAGGAGAGTTAGTTTTTATTATACTGGAAAAAAATTGAATTAAAATAAAACTGTAATCGGATCAACAGTCTGACGTATACAGAAAAAAGTGATAGATTTAAGTAAATAATTGCTCCAATACTCCTGAGCAAATTTTTATTTGGATTAAGTAAATTTTACCTGAATAAAATAAATATATGCTTTACTTGAACAATATACTTGGAAAATATTTTACTTGTGGAAGTAAATATTACTTGATCCAAGCGGGAATATTTGCTGAAACGTATTGGAACAATTATTTACTTGAATCTAGCACTTTTTTCTGTGTAGGAATTTGGACTACAAAATTTAAACAACACTAAAAAGTTCTCGAAACTGAGAAATGTAGTTGCTTATATGATATAGCTGTTCTTCGACTACAAAATGCTTCATCTAACTGCACAATACAAATAATTCTACTTTATTAAGTGGTGGGTAAGTGAAAAGTTGGCAAATCAGGCAAATAATACATCCAATAATGCGTTGAATCCGCTTGACGTCTCACTGAATTAAATTTTAAGCTTGTTTGGCACAAACAAGAGATTAAGGAAGTATTGCCGAAAAAAATTGGGACAGTTAGCGACAGTTAGTGACAGTTGGTTCGCTACACGTAACTCTGAAATTGAGTTCGTTTAACTGGACTCGAGTTATCTCGGCCGATCTTTTCTTTTTTTTATAGCGCGGATTATAAAATGCGTGTGTGTATTTGTCAGCTTAACTGTTTCATTTCCACGCGCGTGTCGGATGCGAATTTCGTCCTAAAAAATAATAATCCCTCTTCGAAGAGAAAAGTTGCTTCCCGTTCATTCCTGCAAAGCGACCGGCTTTGCTCGCTCGTTCTCCAATACTTCGATCTCGCACTGAGAACGATTACTTGGCAATATTTCTGGCGGCACATGTCATTTGGCGTCCTTTATTAGATACGATCTGTCCGCGAGCCGTTTAGGGGCCGCAATCATGCGCAGCCTTCCGTTCCTCTCGCGGACCTGCCAATATCTATGCAAATCCGCGGCCGAGTGTTACAAGCCCCGTGTCAACCGGTCGATGATGCAGAGCCCGTGCCAGAAACACGTATTCGCCGACGGTGCATCGCGGATAACGTTAACTCACGATTCATGAATATGCAATTGTTTTCGCCGAGGCGCGACGCGACGCTGCGCGTCCCCGCAAAAACGCGCGCACGTGCGAAACCGGTTTGCGCACGTGTTACCGACCGTCCTCGCAAGAACATCCTCGATGGATCCATGGCGCCGATTTTTCGTCTCGATTCCGTTCTACATATTTTTCGTCGCGTTTTTGGGACGGTAGCTACTGAGAGCCGGACCACGCGTCATGTCCCCGTTAACGAACCGACAAATAGGGACGTTTTATTTCGCGGATTAACTGTCGTATCGACATTTCGGATTTTATGCGCGTTTTATAAAGGCGATAAAACGATGTAGGCCAACGGTAGGATACGTGTATTACGTTTTCTTTGCGCGCGAAAGAAGTTGCTGAGACATCGTGCACGTCGGCAAATAAGCCCGGATTAATCGAAATTTGTCTCAGATGGGATTTGAATTTAGACCTGAAGATAATTTAGACCTACGTTCACAGCCGTTATTTCAATCTTATCTCGAGTGAAATGTTCAGATTCTGATTAAGGTCCGTATCGATAGAGTTGTCACCTGAAATTCGTCTCATGCGAGATACTCAGATTTTCATTCGCAGTTGGAGTCTGAGCTTTTCAGTTGAATCGTATGACACATTTGACGTCATATCTGTGAACATTATTCAAGTGAAAAAAATTTAAATTAAAACTCTGAATTAAAATCTGAGTATTTCAACTTGAAGCAAGTTTCAAGTAATGACTGTTAAGTTTCTTCTTCGGGTGTCTTCTTTGTTAACGAAGGTTCACGATCACTTCGGCGAACTTTTCGCAGTCTTGCGCAAGATGGAACGATTTTGCTACGCTCGAGTTTCTCGTTCATTTCCGTATGTTGGACAGTCAGAATACTTTTCTCCTTCTTATTCTGCATTTATCATCCGTCTTGTCTACCACGAATTACAGCGGTATATTTCCGACATTTTGCGTTGTATATCTAGATATGACGTTTCCCTCTTTTCGATGATATCGAGAATTTCTCTCGTTGACCTGTTTTCTCCCGCGATGTGATCACTCGTCTATTACTTACGGGCTTCAAATTCCTAAATTGCAGTAGTTCGTATTTTCGATTTCTCATATTGTATGTCCTTATGGTATGACGTTTCTTCCTCTTTTCTACGATACCGAGAATTTCTCCTTTCGAGTTGTTCTTTTCCAAGATGTACTTGACTGTTATTAAAGCTTCAAATTCTTATAACGAGTCGCGTCCTCGCTTGACCGAACTCCGAATGCTCTCCCGTCGTTGAGCGAACAGCCTCGAGGATGTAGGATACACGCGTAACTCGTGTCGTTCGTCAAACAGTCCGATCGATTTTCCGTAAATACCAGCAGATTAATCCTCGACGTGCTGAGAACATCGGTTCGATAGTCATCGCTAACTTTTGCGAGAGTATGCAAATAAATTGCGCCTCTGCTCTCTCTCCTTCCCTCTCTCTCTCTCTCTCTCTCTCTCTTGCTCGCTCGCGCCGTCTCGTACCTCGAAATAAAGAACGGAGCGCGAGAGTCGGCCTCTCTGTACGAGCTCTTTTGTCCCTCTCCTCCGTTAACCCTCTCACCGTCGTATCCCCTTCCCACATGTCTTTTACTCGCTCGCTCCTCTCTCTCTCTCTCTTTCCTGGTCGGTCGGTCTCCCTCTCTCTGACCCGTTAAAATAGACAAGGCTTCTTTCCCGGCCAAAGTCACAGATATTACCGGCCAATCTCTCGCCAACGGCCGGTCCGCGGGAACGACAGTTTACCTCCGATCCGCGGCGAAGTTGGTTCCGACGCGGCGACGCGGACTTGTTCGTAACCGGAGCTGGTCCGTGTTTACCGTGTGGCCGATTGCCTTTCAGCGGGCGTAAACGGTACGAGTACTCGTTGCGAGTACTTGGACGGGCTCGCCAGTGTGAATTTCCGTTGCCTTTTTCCTCCTCTCGTGCTGAGACGCGGTGGAGAAAGATCGATTCCGGGCGAGGAAACCCGCGAGGAAGATCATATTCGATTTCGCGCTCGCGACTGAGAGAATCGTCGGTCTCTCTCTCTCTTTCTCTCGGCGATATGCTCGTCGAGCGTGCCTCTCCCGTCTGAGATACTCTCCGTTGGTGGTACGTGAATTTTCCATATCCGTCAGACGCATCGTCGATGTGCCGTCTCGACGGTGGTCGTCGTCGCCAAGACGGCGAGAACGTAGAAGACGAAGAGACGCGTTCTCGCGACCAATTGTTCCCACGTAGTTTATCGACGGCGTTAAAAATACGGCTGGTGCGCGCGCGACAATGCCGATGATGCGGAGATGCGATGATAGTGGCTTCCGAGCGGGCGCACGACGGCGAATAAAAGCGAAGAAACTGACGTTCCTCGCGTCTGTTAACGGTAACGTGGTAAAGGGCATCGAAATGTCAATTCGTTACTCGCTGCTGCGTACGGTGACTGCGTGCGGATTAAGTGGGTGTTCGCACGGTGACGGACGACGTTGGGGCGTTTAAAAGGCGACGACGCCTCTAACGTGGACACGGGCGATCTTTTCCGCGAGTTCGTCGCGGACGCCGCGCGACACGGCGAGTCGGAAACAATCGGCGGCGGCGCGCGTTGATTAATTATCCAATTAAAATGGGCAGAGCCAGTCGAATTACGGGACAGGGCCGATTATGGAGGTAACACGCGCTAGTTTAATCGCTCCTTCGGTGTTGTTTCCGGCGTAATTAATGCCCCGATTCGTCCCGTAATCGGGACAATGTAACTAATCCGTCTTCTAATTACTTCGCGCACCCGTGATTCGCGAAACGTTCGAGGACAAATCCCGCTTATTTGCATCCCGTCGAGGATAATGTCGAGCACCGACACCTCGGCCGCCGGTGAACCTGAACTCTGGTTGATTAAACGCGCCGGATTTAACACCGGGATTGAATGCCGGGATGGGCGATCAGCACTGCGACGATACCGCGTTCTCCTTATGAACTTTCGCGGGCCGAATTGTTTTTCGATTCTTCTTCCCAACCGATCCATAGAAGTTCGCGTCAACATCGCGTGGCTCGCGTTTATTTCAGTATTTAACTTATGCAACAACACACGCATATTTATAACGATATATTTATGTTGAAATACAAAGTCTACAGAGTCGACTATTTTCTCTCAGCGTGCGGCCAATAGAGAGCCGATGTAACGAGGTAAAAGACACGTCTCGTATTACATTTGCTCGTCATATTTTTAGCAATTCAGTCATCAGTTAGGCTTGCGTATCAACGGGAATCAACGCAGTAGTCAACACGTCACAATAATATATTGAGAAAAATTCCATTCAAATTATATATAGTTATTTTTGACAGTTCAACTATATCTTCTTCTGGTTTTAACTCAGAAAATAGTACTAGCAATGCGCATGCAATTACAGTTACAAATACCAACAATTTTTTTGTCAGTGTGTTAATTTTGTGTTAATCTTCATTGCAACGACAGTTTCGCTACAACAGCAAAATTATTTTTCTCCGTGTACCGAAAAAACCATTGCTTAGCTTTCGGTACACACGGTTTGTTATGATCGGAGCTAACCGATCGTACACACGAGGCGGGGCCTGTCTTAACGTAATTTGCGAGTGAAATCAACGAGAGATGTTATTTATTTGACGCCAAACATTTGACGACGAGGCGACGGCTCGGGCGATTCGTTTGAATTCGCGCGGACCTTCTCTCCTTCTTTCCTTGACAATGCACAACAAAGTCGCAGTCATTCAACATGGAATAGTAATAGCGGAATGCGCGCGATGATCTTAGAAGATACGTCGCGCGATCTGGAGCGAACGGATCGCAGACGTTGCGCATTAAACGCGATCAAGACGCGATTAGACGTCGGGGCGCGTTGCGTTAGCTAAGCGAGCTGCTAACGCAGAGAACGCAGAAGCCACACGCTGTATTGTGCTCGTGTAAATGTATTCGCGCATGCGGCGTTAATTAATGCGAAACGCCATCGTTCTTGCTCGTCCGTTACTACGCATCATTCATCGTAAATTGAGAGAAATCCTACGGAAATTATAGTCATTTTCGCGGCTTCAACTATATCTTCTTCCGGTTTCAGTTGAAAGTAGTAGCTTTGTAATAATAGTAGCAATATGTGTGTGAGATTGTATCAGTGATACTATAGCAACACTTGCTAGAAAAATGGTTCTCCTACACAGAAAAAAAGTGCTAGAATCAGGTAAATGTAATTACTTGTTTTTCAACCTCTCAAATCGCGAAATATTTTTATCGATTTAAATATGTTTTAATAGCTTATAATAAATACTTACTTGGCCGCAGTAATATCTTAATTTGTAAATAAATAAAAATAAATAAATCTCAATACACAGATATACCAAGATACAAGAGAGAAAAAGAAAGAGAAATAGGATCTAACGAGAATCTAGAAGCAACTCATTTTTACTGCGGTAAAACTTTTGTGGGCCAAACGAATCGCTTCGATTTTCGATACTGCAACCTTTGAGAGAGAGAGATTTCCACGCTATAAAGAAAGATCAATCGAAGGAACCCGAGAATTGGGTTAAACGAATTCAACTTCGGGATTGTGTATGGCGAGCTGTCTCGATTCTTTCGGCAAGATTTTCGTATTCTTTTAATCTCGCGTTTATACAAAGCAAATTTAAAATTTCGCCGTTTCGACGATCGCTCACAGTTTATTTAATTTGTTACGTACAATTAGTCATGTCTGATATGTAAATAGATAAGACGTGACGGTATCGCAGTGCATGCCGGTGACACCCATTGCAACATCAACACGTTAACACATCGTGCACTGGAGAGATATATCGCGCGTATCGAAGTGCATAAACAGAGGATCGCGATAAATACTCTCTCTCTCTCCGCATTTGCCATTTACCTTCGGACGTGTGAAGTCGCTCGTTCGCCGTTCGAAGTGCCGTCCGAGCACGTCGTCAAGCGCGAGTGATAATTCTCAGACACTCGGTATAACGCAAATCCGGCGTCGTAGAAGCGCGAAGATAGCGGTAACGCCCGAATTCTGAAAATAACACCGCGATGTGTGCGACAGGAAATGTGGCATAAGTGGGTCGCAAGTTCATCGGTGCTAATTATTGCTAATCGAGAAATCTCACGCAGAGAGTCGCACGATGTCCGTGCGTTACACCCTGCTCGTGACAAGCGATCGATCCGCCGATGATAGAAATTCGTCAACGCGGAGAATGGGAATTGGAGAATGATTGACGGGTCACGAAGAATGCGAAGTGACTGCTCAAGCTGGAACGACGCTCAATTACTAAATCCGGGGAATCGCGTTGCCACGTGCTCTTCGCGCGCATAGATGTCAAATCATTAATTTGTTAAATGTCGGCAGAATACTTGATTTACAGTGCGAAAAAACGACGGGAGTGACAACTGACAATCAAGTTGTCCGGAGTGAAAACGGCCTCTCGCGCGACATTTCAAGTGATCCAGTTTCTCTCGCAATCTGCCGGCGGTTTTGATCGGTCGCGCGTTACGTACGGCCGATTAATGAGACGTGAAGAATCTCACATAGGAAAAACACAGAAAAACATCAAACCGGTCCGGTATCGGGCAGAACGATGTTTACGCGATAAAAATACGACGATTTTCACGCGAAGGGGAGCGTAGTTCGGGAATTTACGTAACGGAGCGCGGAGGTGAAAAAAAAAATATATATATATCTCGTGTCGTCGATAATAACCGCAACGTAGCGCCGCGTCGAGCGATTAATTGAACGAAAACATTCGCCGATCGCACGACGATCGGCCGGGATTTTATCGTGGCGTGTAACTACGTGGTTTTTATCGCCTTGGAAATTACGGTTACCTCCGGGCTCGCTCGATTTTTAATACCACTGAGCTTCAAGCCTAAAGTTTAAAGCGTCAAAGCCTTTGCCCGCCGCCGAATATAATGTCCGCGGAAAATTCGATAGTTCTACGGTAAAACAAGCAGTCCAGAAGAACTGAATCCGAGAAGCCCTTGTGTTTACCGTACCGTGTCGGATTATACTCGTCGTTCTGAAAGTAGTGTAAAAGCAATGTAGGACCTCGGTAGGTGGTCGAAAGGCAGAGGATAGGTCGGTTTCTCGCTCCAGTAATTGCGAATCGTTTGTTGTACAAGCTTGATACCTCAAGGAGTTCGATATACCTTCTTTGCGCTCGATATTCTTATCTTGAATGTGTGTCGCCTCTCCGCAGCCGCAATACGTCCGCGCGTGCTTCTAAATGTTCTATGGACGGTTCACGTTAGTATTATTAATTCAACTTAATCGCTGCTAATTCCTGAGTTTCGCTCGCGTTGCGCAATTCATGGAAAGAAAAAGTGCCGCGATCCTCCCGTCGCTCTCTATAGTTCAAATTTCTGCGGCATATCCGGACGTATTCGGTCGATCTAGCGCTCGATTTTTATTAAATTTGAGTAATATTTTACTCAGTTGGAAGATATTACTTCAAATAATAGCGTTCTTCCTGTTAAATAACAGTGTTTTCTTGAATGAGACAATAAAATTTTCAACTCAAACAAATAATATTTTGTACATGTGTTATTCCTATGGAACACATTTTAGTCAAATAAGTAGACATGCTGTATCTGAAGAAAGCTTTTTCTTTCTGTGCACGTGCGCGCAAACACACATACACGAGGAATTTTTAGAAAGTGAGAAACCGCGCGTGGCACCGTCGTTGTATCTCTCTCGAACTCTCGAGGTTAAGTCAACGCGAAGTTCGCGGGGGAAATTTCGAGCGGTATCGTGTCTGCGCGCGAGACTTCGGGAAACGCTATTGCCGGGTACTTGCCGCGACAGCCATTTAACGGCTGTGTCACGATAAGTTTACGTCTGACACATATTGCGGGAACGATGCGGAAGCGCTAGACGCAGAAATCGTGACGGAACATCCGACGTGTTAAAATAGACACCCTAGAAACTGATGCCTCAGCGGTACCACCTACCGCGGCACATAGTACTCGAGGCCGCGATATATATCGCGCGCAGCACGTGTGTATATTTAGGTCTCCTGTCATCGGCTTCGGCCGATCTATGAACCTCGAGATTTCCATTCGGCAGCGGCGGCGGCGGCGCCGGCGGCTTTACGCTCGATCGGAATTATCAAGGCTGGAATAACAACAGCGAGGTTGCAAAAATAGACTTGTCGCGCGCTTCAGTAATGACGCGATTAAACGCTCGCTTCTTTTTTATCAGCCACGATAAACGGACATCTTCATTCCGTGATTTAGAACAAAATTGTGGTTCTGATTGATTAATTAAACGCTACTTCATATAGAGACAAAAGGATTTCTTTGGATTTAATAAAATTTTTTAAATTGAAACAAATTTGTTTTTGGAAACGGAACGAATGAAATGAATGTCTGATTCAACGAACAAGTTTGTTTTTTGAGCAATAAGTATCCTTACGTCAAATATATTTTTTTCATGTAGTATTTTCGCTCAAACATTACAATGTCACGAGCAATAAATTATTTGAAAGAAGGAACATTATTATGTTTATCCGTCGAGTAAGGTTTTGGAACGCAGCCCCGAAGGAAAGAAGTCTGGCAAAAAGGAACAAAGTATCGTAGTTAGGCAAATTTCCTCTCGCACCAATTGAAATCCAATCAGATCAGGGATTCGACGTGGGCATTTGAACTGTGAAAAATTGAGTTGGCGGTAAAAGGTCAGCAAAACTGAACCGTGGTTGTGCGATGGACAGTCAGTTGAACGAAATTCGGAGTTTGTTTACAACGAATGATTAAAAAAAAACTAGATATTGTCGAATGAATTTGAGCGGTTAGTTCATCACATACAACTTTGAAATTGAGTTCATTCGACTCGATTGTTTCGACTGATCCTTTTTTCATTGCGTACTGTGTAATTTCTCTCTTTGTTTCGCTCTATCTTTTATTTGCCCGTCGATAATAAAATACCGCGCTGCTCTCGATCATTCCCGGCATCTTGCGACATGATTGCATCCGTATCACGGCATTATCGGTCCGCTTAGAGATCTTCGAGAGACACGCGAACGATAGGTCGCGCGATGCACGCGCACACCTGACCGGCCGTGTCGAAAGACGAATTTTTGCGCGGATGGCGAAACGAATTATTGTCCGCCACTCGATTATCCGGTTTCTGATAGAACCCGCTTGTTGCGAGCGATACGTTTCTACGGGACGCGATATTGACTACGCTACGATGCATTCGGAGCCATCCAAGCCTGTGATCCTCGATATTGTCCGGCGAGAATCGCAGTCTTGCTGCGATCTGATACAGTCCGACGTGTCCGCAAAAAAAAAATCGGGTCTCATTTTTTCGTCTCGGACTGTTGTGCGAGCCTCGAGGGAGAGCCTCGTCGTAAAACAGGAGAGACGTTCGTAACGGAGAGAAAGAGAGAGAGAGAGAGAGAACAGATTATGCGTCGATAGCGATCTCTGAAAATGATCGCTGAGAGAAAGCTCCATCGGTTGATACCGGCGCGCCAACGAAATCGTTTCTCTAGAGAGCGGCGAAGAAAATTTATCGCCGTTGATTCTCTGCTTGTTGCAACGCAGAAACCGACTTCCCGTGTTTCTGCGTTCATTATTTTCTCGTACGATCGATTCCCCCCTTCCCCAACGTAACCCCGTTGCGATTCACGTGCGGGTATATACGCGACAATTATCTACGATAGCATCGTGAACAGTGAAAGTGGGATTGAACACGGTGAAAGTGCATCGTCATGACAAGGGAGACGCGTTCGGAAATGCGACGATCGTGCGCAACGACGCGCAACGACGCGACGTCCTCTGCGAAAAAGCATCATCTGTCGCGGCTGGTGGCGTCGTAAAATGCCGCAGTACGACGACAGCTTCCTCGATTCGCCGATATTTCGGCGGCGAACGCGCAGCTACACGCTGCAGAAACAATTTATGCCGAAGTCCAAGTCTTTTTACATCACGGCCACACCCCTGCTGCTGGCCGTTACCAATCACGCCAGGACGCTTTCCGGTTCCTTATCGACTTGCAGCTTGAAAGGTAATCAGAAAATTCAGGTTAAGGACGTGACGCGACGTCGACGTCTCGTGTCAATGTGCTCCCGCCTCCCTCCTTTTCGAAAGTGAGCGAGGATTTACAAAAACGCTGCGAAGCCACGTTTTGCCAACCTTGTCCCCCTTTTATTAGCGCGCTCGTGCGAAAAACTGTACAGCTAGTTTCATATTAACGTTGTCTCAAACGAAAAGTTACACTTTTCGTGCACCGATGATTTGCTGTTTCTTGTAACGCTCGGTTATTGTATTCCACTCGAGATAACTGCGACGCAAAATTTAAGGGAGACCGGACTAAGTTAGCTTTGCTTTCGCTTATGTTGATATTAGTTCACGATATTTTATACTACAAAGAACCTAATCTACTTTGGGCTATTCGACGTGAAGAAGAAAATTGGTCGAATTTTAGCTGACAATAAATAAACCAAACGCGTCTTAATCGAAGGAGACGGAGTTTTTTATTTCTTCAATTTTTCAACCAAAACACGTTTGGTTCGTTCATTGTCGGGCAAATTCAATCAGATTTTTTTTTCCCATGCCACATCAAGGCCGACTAGTCACAATGCGGCATATTCGTATTTCGATTGCCGCGGAAAAATAATATAATCAAACATAATAAAATACAGAAGAAAAATATACAGGTGTTACGAGGTCGTTCCTAGCGTGAAAATAAAAAGGAAGTTCTATCCCTGCATATTTGCACAGTCAGTCGTAGCAATTAGCAGTCTGAGAGGTCCCGATATCGAAATTCCGAAGAGCGTGTCAATCTGCCGCTGTTTCCCCCGCGCTTCGAGGCTCGATAATTAAAGTTCGAAGTCGAGTCCTCAGCCGAGATAAACGACTCGTTCGTTCCGACGGAAAGCCCGCGGCCTATTTCGGCGCACAGCAATCAGCCACGAGCCTCGAAACTCGGATTTAAGCAATCGCATCCTCCAGCGAGCGCGTTACGACTAACGTTCCCCCCTCGATCCGAGTCCCGTGTACATTACCGCGAGCGCAATACGCGCGAAAGCATCTCGCCGGATAATTACTAGTTCGCGCTGTCAATCATATTAAGCACCGCTCGTGCTTGTCGCAGGTACACCACCACCATCGTCACCACCACCGACCATTAGCACCTCGTCCGTTACTGCGCGTACGTCTCTCCCTCGCTGCATATATAACGTATACACCGCCTAGTGATTTCCCTCTGGGCCCGCAGCGCGAGCAAATTGCTACGTTCTATGTCTCACGTACGCCACCACTTACGCGGCGCGGGCATACAAAATGCTTTTGATTTGCAAGTTAATGGACGAAATGATTCGCACCCCGGGGGAGGAGGGAGGTACGGGTCGGGGTGGGCGCAAATTGCGGGCGATTGGTGTGTAACAGGGCTGTCGGTGGCTTTGCGAAACATCCCGAAAGAACATCGACATTGCACAGAGACATTAACACATCGAACTTTGAGGTATTTGAGGTAAAGGAAGACATACGATTGTCGATTATCCGAAGACAACACGTTGTAATTCGAGCTTGCCGCGGGGGCGAAGTAACGTGGAGGAAAATATTTTTTTTGACCTGTGCGCTGTTTTAGAGGTATTTTCTAGCGAGTCTCATTCGTTCATTCGAGTCTCCAATTATATCGGTTTCGGAGACCGTGGCTTTTCATGAATAGTTGTGTCTCAGCGAATTGTTCTTGAAGAAGTAACGTACGGCGCGGATATTCCCGCTTGAATGGATCGCGAAAATAGAATCTTGGCACTGGCGCGTGGATCTTCGCGCCGCTGGCATACGTTTGTTATGAACTCCGGAGTGACACCATTCGCCAGACATTCAATTAGAGCATTAATCTCCCGAATAATTTGATGAATTTCACAGTTTTTGCAAGATTCCCACGGATGTGAAAGCGTTTCTCGATGCCCTTTCGATTAAAAAAAAAATCAATTAAATCAACTCGATCTTCGGTGAATTTAATTGACTGCTCGGGGAGTAACGTTGTTAATATCCGGATATCCGGGCATTCGGTCCGGCGAAGTTGCGCCGCGTTCTCCGAAGTCGAAACACGAAGAGGTGCACTCGAAGGTTCATGGCTTTTCGATCGGGCCGCGCGAAACTCACTAATTTCATCGGTCAGTGTCACTTGCAGGCCGGCCCGCCGTCATTCGCTGCCGGCGCTCTCTCCCAGTCCTGGCGTGTCAACCCGCGGGCAATATCCGGCGGGACCGGTTGTCACGGTACTTTAGAACGGCGCGCTCGATACCAGAAGTGCACCCGGCAAAATCCACCGATCCGTGTACGGATCACGCGCGTCATTATCATCGCGCGCTCGTGTAAGTCGCCGTTTAATAAACACACGACGTGGCGCGTCGACCGTAATTACCCCGGCGAAATAAACCCTGTCAGTGTCGTCCTGGAAATTAAACCGAACAAACGAAATTTGTTGTGCTCGAGCCGCATCAGTGGCGTTGCAATTTTGCCGTTTCGGCGACGAGCCGCTCGCCCGATATATTAACGTCACGCGCGACACGAATCGATAATTCGCGCTCGAGCTATGAGACTAGACCGGATTTTATCCGAGGTGTTATCGCGTCGAGGATCACTCGAGGACAGCGACGTATAAAGTGTATATCCCGGTATATCGGTGTCAAGTGCGTCGCCTTCGATTTCTTTGTGCCAGTGCGTCGGGAATGTTATTAATAATGGCGATTACGTGAACGGATCGTTGTCTTTCGTTGCGCCATCGCGAATCCGGTTTATTTTATGGATGGTTGATGAAAGGAACGAGGGATTACGGAGGCTATTAGACGCACCAGATTCCCCTTTCGCTGCACTTTTCGACCTGCCTTTCTCCCCCCCCCCCCCCCCCCCCC